CTTATTTATGAGTTAACAGTGATTTTAAGTGCCTCATTTTCAGATGATTACAGTAAATTCTTAATTCTTCGTGCTATTTTCAAAGTGAAATAACTTGAACTAATAAAGGACATAGATATTCCAAACTGTGTACTCTTTAAGATTTTTTTATTTTTATTTGAAGGGAAGAGTGGCAGAGAGAGAGGGCTGGAAAAGGAGGGGAGTAGGAGAGCTTCCATCTGCTGGTTCACTCCCCAGATGCCTGCAGCAGCCTGAAGCCGGGAGCCAGAACTCCATCCTGAGCTCCCACGTAGGTGGCAGGGAATCAGGCACTGGGCTATCACCTGCTGACTTCCCAGGCCCATTAGTAGGAAGCTGGATTGGAAGTGGAGCAACGAGGACTTGAACCAGCATTCCAGATGCTGGGATGCGAATGTCCCAAGCAGCGGTTTAGCCTGCTGTGCCACAACTCCCACTCCTAACCATGTGTTTAAATATTTTCTTTTGCAAAAACTCTTTCTTACATGCATATAGGATTACTTGAGTTGTACTTTATCTTCCTGCCTGCAGAGTAGGCAACTAAAAGTATTGACAGGAGAAAGATAACAGGTAACATAACCACAGCAAAACCAAAGTCAACCATTAACTATGGTTAACGGAGAAGCTGCGCGCACACCACGTGTACGTATGGATTAATACTTCATAGAATGAAATTCCCTTAAATACGTGTCCAAGGTAGTCATTTAGGGAACACAAAAGGGGTTTACCTACGGACTGACACTTGCAGGACCTGAACCTGTCTGTGTGTGGAGTGTTTTATAACAGCCTAGATTGCGCGTGCTTTATTTTACAGCGCACGTGCTCACCTTGAGAACCCAGTCTGGGACAGTGCACGTCCGCGGCAGAGCTTCGTGAGCACGCGTGACGGAGGTCGGTGCTGCTGTGGAAGGGCATCGTGTTCCTTCTCCTCACCGTAGTCCTCATCCCCCGCCGTTCTGTGCGTTCCAGCAGGATATTTTCAGAATCTTCCTCAGATTCATCTTTCCCTCTAAGTCACTTACTCATTTCCTAATCCACTGCCCGTCTTTTCCTTCTAATTATGTCTGATCTTTTCTTAAAATAGATCTGTAATTGCTTGATGCCCACTCAAACATTGCAATTTTTTAGGAACTTAAGGTAAGACACTAAACCATCTGTTTATCCCTAGATATTTTTGGGTAAGACACCATGCTGAGCTCAGCAAGGATCAGGAAAAGGAGGAAAACCATGGTCCTTGCTGTCAGAGAGCCTATAAGTAGGCATGGATTTCAAAATTGTTTGCACCAAAATAAAAATATCTTTAATTCCATTTTTCTATGAATTTTTAAAAGCTCCTCGTAGTAGGAGAGAACTAGGAGTTAGAGATGGTCTACACAAAGCCCGTATTACAGGGCAGGGGAACAGTTGGGCTTGCTGTTGCATCCGGAGGAGCGCACGGGGAGGCAGGGTGGTTCGGTGGAGGGAGCGCCGCGGGCCCAGAGCTGAGGTCTGGCTTTGTGCCATCGTCCGAGAGGAGCACCGAGCTCATCTTCTTTGGCGTTGTTCTGTCCCCAGCTTCAGTTTTTCTGTCCAGAGAGTGGAGTTTTAACCAAGTCTAGTTTTGTGCATGTTGAGGAGAGCATATTTGTTTCTTTGCCTTCATAGATGCGTCTTGTCTGTTTTTGATGTCTTACTAGTAGCTCTTTTTAAGGAGTGCGATAGTAATTTGTGAACTATACATTGGCACAGTGACTGCCAGTGGCCTTCATCAGATAAATAAAACAAGATTGATCGATTAGGCCCGTACAAGTCTTTCTAGCTAGAACTCTTTATTCTTGGGCACAGGCACAGGACCAAGCATTGAACATTTAGGCTGTGCGTTCTGAGTTTAGAGTAAATCTGTGAGCTTTGGTGGAGAGGGGATGGGGGCAGAGCAGCATTGGCTGAAGACCCATCTCCTGTGGCCGTGAGTGAGTTGGCCTGGCTTTTCTGCGATGCCCTTGGCCCCATCTAGAGACCATTTTTCCATGCTTGACTAGGGAAGCATCGATCTTCTTTTTTTTTTTTTTTTTTTTTTACCTCTGAAAAGTTTTATTCTCTTTTCTACTGAAAGAGCCATAAGTCTGTAACTGGTCTTCAGTCTTTAGACTATTAGTTAAATTATCAGCCCAAATGCTTCTGGCCAGTTTGTCTTCCTGTTTCTACACTGGGGGTGAGAAGCTGCTAATTAGCTGAGTTTCAGAGTGGCGTGTCTTCGTACTTCAGAAATACCACGTGCAATGTGTATGTTGATGCCCTTTGAAATAAAGTAGTCTTTTGAAGATGTTTTAGCTGTGCTGAATTAAAAGGAAACCACACTCTCTGTTTATTTTATGTTATTCTTGTGTGTGTTGTACAGTGTTTTGGTTTCACTTGTAAACACAGAGTCACCTGTGAGACCCCGTGTAGGTGTGACAGAACCAGAGACTGGATTAGTCAGTGTTCCCGGGGAGGCAGCGTGAGCACTCTGGGAAGCCTCGGGGTGTGGGCCATGGCTGAGTGCCGTGTATGGAGACTTGGAGAAGACGCTGGTGGCCAGTGTTTGAAACTGCACTCATTGCCTTACAGGATGGATAACAGTCTCACAGTGTGAAGTCTGAAGGTTCTGTTTTGTTTCATCTTTTAATTGGTGGTCTGTTGACTGTTGGCCGTTTCTGTCCAGAATGCGTGTATTAGCCAAGTTGTGCTGAAGCTGAAGTGTGGATTAATAACAATTCAGTGCTTTACCTAGTGCGTGCTGCCTAAAGCACAGGTGTTTCTTTTCTTGGTTGAATACTGTCTGATTTTCATTTCTGTGTAATTTACCCGCACGGAGATTAAGAAAGCTCTTTTTTATTAAATAAGCTTGCAAACAAGATGACTGCACTGGGTTCTTTGGGTAGAATGCATTGCATAGCTCCCTTTATAATGAGCATTTAAAAATCTGCCCTCCAAAAACTGGAAAATGCATTCTCTCCTGTATGAAAAGCAATATAGTACTGAAATATTCCTCCTTAATTTTGGTCTGAACGAACACAAGTGTCTGTGTTTATTCCTGCCTAATGCATCACAAATCTGCTGACGTGCTAACCTCGGAGTCCTGGCTGGCGTGCATCAGGCCCGTGCACCGGCAGGAGAGATGGACCTAATGCGCTGCGTCGGAGCAGTTTGCATATGGGAGTTCTCACAGGGGAGCTGCCCTGTGCCAGCTGAGGGTTACCTGCCCACTGCAGTTATTGTATGTAATTATCGAGCCAATCTGTTCAGCCCAGCAGGGTTTAGATGGTAATCATGAAGCGACACTTTGGAGAAGAAAGATGTGAGGCACTCTCCCCTCTCTCCTCAGCCGTGTGAAGCCACAGCCATTTTGAGGAGCAGTGCCTCCTTGTGCAAATCTGCTAGACGGATGCCTTTTGAAGCTTTGTGAGGTGTCCTCAAGGTGCTATTTTTACATAGGGGAAGCCTTTTCTTTAGGAACACGAGGCTGTCTCGGAATTCTGGTCTTTCCATTCCTGCCGTAAGCGTGTTTGGAAGCAGTGGGATTACTTGTAACACATAGGTGATAACAGTTCTGACCACTGTGTTTTTGAGGTAACATGGCTTGAATAGAGTTCAGCTCTCCTAGGCAGCTCTTTGGAACAGAACCAACCCATGGTTGCCATTAGGACAAAGAACAGTGTCCTAGCAGCTGCACACAAAGTGGCCTGCAGCAGAGAACTCTCTCGGGTGGAAATTTCGGTCACCACCAATTGTGAGGAAATACAGCCCGGGGCCTTCTGTGGCAGTGCGTCTGGCCTTCGGGAGTAGCAGATGCTTCCTATACAATGCAGACTTAGTGTAGGTGACCTGCAGGAGCTTCGAATTAGGATTTGGATTTTAGCACACTTAAGTTTGAAGGTATATGAGGTAAAGTTATTAAGAAAAATAGAAACTAGGAAAGGTCTGAGAGAATGGTGGGAGTTCCAAACTATTTTAGGAGAGTTTCATAGTACTCGTTTCCAATAAGATTTATTTAAACTTTTAATAAAAACTATCTCGAAAGAGAAACATTATTAGCAATTTGCCATTCTGACTCAAGAGTAGAATTTTACCACCAGTGTTACATGGTCTGCCCATTGATGTAATAATGTATGAAGTGAGCTTGTGTTTTTCCGTTTACTGAGTAGCTGCCCTCCCTGCACGCTCTCAGCCTCCCTCCTTGTGAAATGGAGGGAGTACGGATCATTGGCCCGAGTGAGTGGTGACAGCATGTTTGTAAAACGTGGTTTTCAAGGAGTTTTTGAAAAATCAGCCTTGAGAACGAGCAGAGCCTTGGGTAGTGGGCTCGAGCCGGGGAGCAGGCCTCCCTGCCATCCAGGTCAGGCGTGTGCTGTCTGTCCGCTCCCTCCCTCCCGGGGGAACCACTGTCCTGACCTGTGAGTGCCCTGGATTTTGGCACACCACGTCCTCGCGTTCATGTCCAGGGCTGCTTCACACAGAGTGGGAGGTGCCTGTTGTGAAAAACACTACTCCCGGATTCAAAGAAAATTTGAATCAATCACCTTGTAGATCCATTTTTCCACAAATGTTTTGAGATTTTTTTTTAAAAGATTTTGTTTATTTACTTGGATGTAGAGTTACAGACAGAGAGGGAGAGAGAGAGAAAGGAAATCCATCCTCTAGGGCACTCCCCAGTGAATGGCTGGAGCTTGGCCAATCCGCCACCAGGAGCTTCCGGGTTCCCACATGAGTGTAGGGGCCCGAACACTGTACCATCTTCTGCTGCTTTCCCAGGCCATAACAGAGCTGGATTGGAAGAGGAGCAGCTGGGACATGAACCTGTGCCCATAGAGGATGCCGGTGCCATAGCTAGAGGCTTAGCCCACTGTGCCACAGTGCTTGTCCCGTGTTTTGAGATTCTTGTGTGTATACTAATATACGATGAATTTGTATATTTGTTTATCTGACTGTCTGACCATCTTTCTCTTTTCGATTTTATGTGTAAGAAGAGAAAGAAAGAAAAGGAAGAAAGCACAGCCTCTAGTGTTGAAGATATGGAATGCTCAAGCGCGCAGACGGAGGAGACCATACAAACCCGTAAGTCGGTTAGCTTCCTTCATGGTGGACAGGGACTTCACTTCCTCCCACTGGGGGAGGGGTTGGTCGTTGACACCACAGCATGGTGCTTTCTTTGTAGAACGTCCTACAAGGTTTTCCACCTGTACAGGGTGTGTCGCAGTGTCTCACACACACGTCGCTGCCCTTGGCCTTTCCAGGTCATCGTGGAGTTGGGACTAAGCAGCTACGCTCATGTGCAGATCTGGAGCCTGCAGCACTGCGCTGTTTTGGAAGGGTTAGAGCTGGAGCCTGATGCCACAGCTCTGGGAACGCCAGGGAAAGTCAGGAGTCAGGTGGCTTCCCGTGTGCTGGTGCACCTGCCGTGCCATGCTCTACTCCCCTGGTTGCCTGGTGGTCCCATAAAGTCTGCCCGCTCTTCTTTTCTCCCAGCAAGGTAGGCAGCAAGGAATTAAAGTGTCAGATCATCACTTTGCAAAGCACTTGACACAAAAAGCAAAGTGTGCAGTTAATTTCTTCTTGGCTGGTAAACTGATGCTGAAGAAACTTCCGGTAACGGAGTCGTTCCGAGACGTTACAGGCAGAAGCAACTGCAGAGGGCAAGACGGGGTCAGCCTTTGGTCCAGTATGTCAGTAAACGACCAGTTAACGTTCTGGGTTTCGCTGCAGATGGTTTACTTGACTCAGTGGAGGGAGATTCAGTTCTGCCCACAATACCATTACAAAAAGAGATTTCTCCTCTCTCTCTGCCTTTTGTGTGTGCTTATTATTTCACTGGTCCTGACATACTTAATTTCTGATGAAAAAGTTTCTTTGGTAAAACTTTGATTGTAACCGCAGTGTCCTGTCGAGTCAGGCCAGTGATGGGTTCCCCTCCCTCTGATGGTGGCACTGGGTGGAAGTCCGCGGAAAGAAGAGTGTTTGATTCTCAGAGGGCATCGTCTTCACTGAGATTTTGTGAACGTTTTCTTCATTTAGATGATGTGTAGGGCATCCCTGGGTTTGTGTGCGTGCACCCAGGAGAGTTGAAGTGTGTGAGCAGGGTGCGTGGCGTCACTCTGGAGGCCAGAGGTTTGGAAGTGGCCCCTCTTTTTTCCCCGTGGTCCTCCGTTCTCCCCTGTTCTCCCCCTCTCCCCTGTCTTGTTCATTCTGTTATTAGGAAGTGAGGAGCCCCCAGGAGCAGCGTATGGAAGCATGTCTCAGCCAGAGGCTGGCAGCAGCAGCCATGACAGTGAGTGGGAACAAAATCAAGGGGCATTTTTAAAGACAGTAATAGTCTTACTTTGAAAAAGAAATTCCTTACATTGTACAACAGGCGCTTTGACTTCAGGAAGGGCCCTGCTGTGTTCTGGTTACACTGACACCTGTCAGTCCAGGGTGGCCCCCGGGTAGATGAGAAGGCCCTTTACCGTTCTTCGCCTCGTGAGCACCAGGCACGTTTGTTTAGATAGATAAATGATTTTAAATTCATGTGGTTTGAAATGCTTTTTATACCCTAAAGTTTTTTTTTTTTTTTAAAGATTTATTTATTTATTTGAAAGGCAGAGTTACTAAGAGGCAGCGGCAGAGAGAGAGAGCTTTCATCCACTGGTTCACTCCCCGAATGACTGCAATGGCCAGAGCTGGGCCAATCCGAAGCCAGGAGCCAGGAGCTTCTTCTGGGCCATTTTCTAGTGCTTTCCCAGGTCAAAGAAGAGAGCTGGATCGAAGTGGCACTCAGACTTGAACTGGTGCCCATATGGGACGCCAGCACTGAGAGTGGCAGCTTTACCCCCTGCGCCGCAGCTCCTGCCCCTACCCTGAAGTTTTAATGTGAAGTCCTCACACTGATGGTTTTTCCCATAAAAAATATATATTCATATTTTCATTATTCTGTTAATGAGAATAGGCTCATAATTTAAAAAAAAAAAGTTTATCTGCATCTGTTTGAAAGGCGGAGCAATGCGGTTAGGGAAGAAGGTCTTCCATCCACTGATATGCTTTGCAGATGCCCACAACCTCCCAGCGGGGGCAGGGCAAAGCCGGGAGCCCGGGGCGCCAGCTGGGGCTCTGCCATGGGTAGCAGGGCCCAGGGTCTAAGCCATCAGTGCTGCCTTCCAGGATGCAGTACGGGAAGCGTGGGTGCCCACGTGGGATTTGACCCCCTGCCTCATGACGCCTGCCCCAGGTCATAGATAACCTAAGCTGGACAAGTAAGGGGTTTTTTGACATAACTGTTTTAGAAGAGAAAGAATAATCGAATTTTCCTTTATTCACATAAACTCCTAATCAGATTTCTTAAATGCTTTTTATTTTCCCATTGCAGTTCATTTTTTTTCTCCGCAGTACAAGCCTAATTAAGATATTATGTTATCAAAATATTCATAAATGAGAGATTGCACGAGGTGGTAAAATGTGACTTCTTCTAGCAAAAAAGGAAAGGGTTCACGTAGATGCAGGTAGATGTAACTATTTATATTCGTCAGTTTAACTTACAGGAGAAGGCATGTTATTGAATTTGATTTTTTTAATTTTTAAGAAATATATAATCCCGTGAATTCTGTGTTTTAGGGCTTTGAGATTTTATGTCATAAATGTGTTTCAAGAATGGTTACCTCTAACAGCAGCTTTAGAAATGTCAGTTTCTTCATTAACAATTTTATTTTCAAACACAATTTATGGTTTACAATATGGTAAGAGATTTTTCTCACTGTGTGATCTTTCAGAATGCTGTGCCGAGCAAAATGGGAGCAGCTTTCCTTTAATATCTATTTAGACCATTTTAAAAACGTGTATAATTTTCTTGATACACCTAAACTCATTTTGAATAGTTGGGGGTCTATTGTGTAAGAACACATTCTGAAAGCTTTCAAAATGTGTATTGTGTAGGTTTTCTCAAAGAAGGAGAGGGGTGATGGGGTGGTTTTCAAGAAGAACAGAGGCCTCTAATCCTTTTATTTTTATGCAAGGCATAATTTTTACCAATTGAGAAAATTTGGTTATTTGCTGCAAGTAATTTTTCCCCTCACAAAATGATAAGCCTTTAAAAAATGCATATTCTGGCATTTCAAAACCATGCAATATTTCAGAATCACACTAAAAATTAGTTAATGTGGCCATGATATTTATGGCTGAGTGTGCTTTGTCTCCTGCTCACGAGTGGAGGCTGCTCTTACTGGTGGTACTTGTGGGGTATGTTGGGTTTGGGACCGTTCCGAGGGTTCCCAGGGAAAGCATGACTGGCCATGAAACGGTTACTTTAAAGGATGCCCTGAAGAGGAATTTCTCCCCTGTGTTTTTCCTTCTGCATTATAAAATTGTAGAAAAGTATTTCAAACTTAAATGCATTATTTTTGAAGCATCAGATTTTACACGTTAGTCTTATGATTGGACTAATAGTAGTATATTATGAACATGGTTATGTTTTAAATTAAAGAGAAAAGAAGATGGGTTTTTTTGTCTTCAACAACCATAATTGAAGACAGTGAGTGGATACGTAGAGCAGAGTCTGCAGGGGCTCAGTCCTGGTTGTGTGACACATCCCACGGCACAGGTGCAGGAGAGACTTTGACTCTTGATGGAAAGTGATAATTTACATTACTAATTCAAGTAAAATGTCGAATTAGGGTATCAGTGAGGACAGTACCATTTTAATGTAGCTCTATCATTTTAGAGTAGAATCCTTATAATGTGGCTTTAGATTCAGTAACTGTTTAAAGGGAGCTGTTGTGTAGTATTTTTTTAGGATTTATTTTTATTTATTTGAAAGAGTTACAGAGAGAGGTAGAGCTAGAGGGAGAGAGGTCTTCCATTCCGTTGGTTCACTCCCCAAATGACCACAATAGCCAGACCTGAGCTGATCTGAAGTCAGGAGCCAGGAGCTTCTTCCAGGTCTCCCACGCAGGTGCAGGGATTCAAAGACTTGGGCCATCTTCTGCTTTCCCAGGCCATAGCAGAGAGCTGGATCGGAAGAGGAGCAGCCGGGACTAGAACCGGCGCCCGTATGGGATGCTGGCGCTGCAGGCTGGGGCGTTAACCTGCTGTGCCACAGCGCTGGCCCCCTGTTGTATAGTACTGATAATTGACTTTTTCTGATATCTCATGATGCTGATCTCAGGATCAGAGCATAGTCAGTTTTCTCTGCAGAATCAATTGTAAAACTCTTGACGTTTAAACCTAAAAATCTGCATGATGTTCTAAATATAAAATTATCTTCCAAAAACTGAGGAAAAAACTGAGAATTTTAAATCAGCCTTAGTGTATAGTCTTGTAAGTGGCAGGGGGAGAAAGATAGTCATGTAAGTGTAAACTTCGCCTTAACTGAACTGTGTGGCGATTGAATTGGGACCGTAACTTGAAGAAATAAAAAGGGTTAGTTTTAAAATGCTCTTCCAGTTAAGTAACTAACTAAACCCATTATCAGAAAGCCCTTAAAATCTCTTTATTACTACACATGTGTGGTGGAAATTTTGTAGTAAATTCAAAGAAGCTTTTGCACTTTTTAGGAGAGAAGTGTTGACCTCTGTTGCTTGGTGCATCTCAGTCCATTAGGGGCCGGTGCTGACCTGGCCAAGTGACGCAGGAGGCGGTAGGAAATGGCCACGCTTCTCAGCCAGCGCCAGGTGACCTGATCAGGCTGAGGTGGTCACGGCTGACGCCGCTGTTCTGTTGGAGACACAGAGGGTAGCTGGTGGGAGAAACGTCCTTCGTCAGGTCGAGCTTCCACTCCCAGTGGAGATCACTGACAGAGGCCAACCCAGAGTGGTGCCTTTTTTTTTTTTTTTTTAAGTTTTTTAATTTGTTTTGAAAGAGTTACAGAGACAGACAGACAGAGAGAAAGGTCTTCCATCTGCTGGTTCACTCTCCAAATGGCCACGTCAGCTGGGGCCGGGCCGGGCCAAGCTGAAGCCAGGAGCCCAGAGCTTTCCAGGTCTCCCACATGGGTGCAGGGCCCTCAGGACTTGGGCCATCCTCTGCTGCTTTCCCAGGAGCACTAGCAGGGAGCTGGATCGGAAGAGGAGCAGTTGGGACATTGGCGCCAATATGGGATTCTGACCCTGCAGGCGGAGCCTTGGCCTCAGGAATTCACCTGTTGTGTTTGTTTTTATCAGTCTCTTTCTGCTAGAATATAAATGTCCAAAACCTGGACATTCGTTTTGTTTTATGATATATAGCAAGTGCCTAGAAAAATGCACATGGTAAATTTTCAATAAATAAATATTGGTAGAGTAAACGAATGAGTGAAAAACCATGTCACGTGGGGTGCCAGCATCGGGGTGATGCCTTTTAAAGAGGCTCCCAGGACCTGTGTAATGTTGAATGATAAAGACTTTCCATGTTACATGCGCAGCCCGGTGCTCTCTAACCTGTGAGGGGTAACGGGCTTTCAGAAGCAGCTCACTTGGGAGGCACCTCCTGGCCTTCAGTGTGTAGAAGCACGTAGCTTTCGTATGCATGTAGAATTTCATAGCTTCCTCCACTGAGTGCAGCCTTCTCTGTTGTCTATTTGCTGTCACTTACACGGGGTGGGGGGTGGGGGTGTCATGCATTACATTTTACAGTAGACATTTTGGAGAGAAATAGTTCAGTACCAGTGTGAGCTGGGTATGTTCTTACCAATGAAGAGTTCTTACATGGGCTTAGACTGGGAGGTAGGCTCTAACATATTTGCTGATATATTTAAAAATTGACACAGTTTCCTAAGATTTTGCTGGGAACTAATAGTTGTACTTCTGTGAGTAAACTCCATCTCTGCAAATATGTCAGAGTCCATTTGACTTTTAGATGTTGATAACTGTATCTAGAGACGTTTGCTTCTACTCTTTTGCCTTTATAAGTTAGTGACTAACGGTTTACATTTCTCTGCTTTCTCTTCAAGGTTCAAGGAGGAGGCGAGTGCAGCAGTAACTCAGACGCGTGAACCAGCGTTGCTTCCTTTCCCTGTGCTTGTTTCTCCTCTTCTGTTTTAAGTGTTTTGTTTTCATGTGAGTCTTGTGAGAGTGATAGTTACATGGTATTGTCTTTGAAAAACATAAACTTTTTTATTAAAATGAATGTGAAATTTATTAAAGGCTAATTTGTGCAGTCTGAAGATCCTCAGGTCTGCTCTCGGCGGTCCCATGCTTGCGTGTTTGGGAGCTGGGAGTACATGGGGAGAGATTACTGTGATCTGTGCTTTTCTGGTCATTGTGCACTTCCCAGAGTGCATAAAATGCTTGAAAGAATCTTCAGCCTTAAGGAAGTGCAAGACTTAAAATAAAGGTCTCTTGGTTGATACAGATAGACAATTTATTGTGACCTCAAAGTGTGGTTTGTACTGATTTTAGCATTTATTAAGCACCTCTGGTGTGCAGTGTTTGTACAGGAAAGCAGCACTTCTAAAGTCTTAGAAATGAGAAATTTTAAATTGTGGAATTCTTTTTAGTTGACTTAGGAACAAAAACTTGGAATTTTAGTATATTCATCGAGTTTCAAGGTAATGTTCCTCAAAACTTTGTTAGAGAGATTGGGCTGTGTTTCCTAATGGGTGATACC